TGAGCTTCCTTGTGGCAAAAATTGATTTCAGAAAAAGCTATTATCTCGGTTTCCCCCTACCTTTAGAGCTGAAAAGCTTCTATCCTCCTGGGATAGAAGATACTGGCAGAAAGTGTCACATTTATTTTTTCTTAAAGTAAAAAAAAAAGTTTTATGTGTTTAATTTTTCTGAAAGTGCTTAAGTTTCTATTTTCCTTTAAAAGAAAACTGGTTTTTCACTGAGATTATCCCAAGGGCCACATCCAGGTATATATAAAAAAAGAGTGATGTGCACTTGCATACAATTTGCATACATCTAGGTAGACTGGGTCATCTATCCACACGGTGCTTTCTTTTTTTTTTCCCTTTATTTTTCAAAGAAATTGAATATTTGATCACCTTTCCAATGAAAAGTACCAAGAGCAGTGAAAAGGCAGAGGAAATCACAGTGATAGTTCCCCTTCGAAGAAAAAAAATCACCTCTTTACAAGATTGCCAGTCTTCTTGCAGGCTTTTGTGAGATTTGGGGTGGCTGTGGTTGCCATGATAAAAATAGCCACCACCTGTGTGCCAGGCTAGCTGCTGTATTTACTTTTTTATATCTCTTCTTTCACTTGGCAGCCCCAAGAGATACGTTGCTCCCTCCAGTCTACCTGCAGGAAAACAGGCTTAGAGGGTCAGCACAGCGCTTTGGCCCAGGTCACCCCTGTAGGCAGTGGCAGAGGCAGGATTCAAACCCAAGGCTGTAAAGACCCCAAGCCCTTTGTTTTAAACCACTAAGCTATAATTTCCATCTTCGACGGACCGTTTGGTGTTCTGTCACTTACACTTGCCATTGTGCACAAGGGACTTTGCACACAGGTATGTAGCTGGTCTGGTTGTGATTTGAATGGCAGCAGACTATTGCATAATATTGAGGTACCTGAGTTACTTGTCTCCCCAGTCAGTTTCCAGTGTTCCAATGTTACAGGTGGTGCAGGTGTGAGTATCTTTGTGCAAATAAGGGCTGTTTGTTGTATGTTTGAGGCATTCACCGGTAGTCCTCAAAGGAGCATTGTTGAGCCAAAGATTTAGAGTCTTACAGATGCTCCAGAAAGTCTGTGCCACTTGTTTCCCAGGCAGCATTGATCATTTGAGTACCTGCTGCGTGCCAGGGGCTGGAGGTGGGGAGGTGATTCAGAAATGGCCCCTCCCTCAGAGAACTGATAGTCTTATGTGAGACAGATGATGCAACACAGAATGAATGGAACTGAAGCTGGGGTTTGGACTCCAGGCAGTGAGAGCGCTGAGAAACGTGACCCCTGGCAGTGTCCAAGCCAGTGTCTGAGCATTCCTTTCCCCCATATCACAGTGTGGGAAAGGGTCAGGGGCTTTAGAGCAAGGGAGGGTTGCTGAAGCCCAGCTGAACACACTTCCCCTCCCGTCCTTTCCCTGCAGGCACCACCAGGCCCTGTCACTGCTGCCCAGCTGCTACCGCGGGGAGCCAAGCAGAGGCTGGAGGGATGGGACACCTGGGGAAACCAGCTCAGGGCTCTAAGTACATGTTGGTCCTCCAGGTTCCCTCTTCCCCCATAATGTCCCTTGCAGCCAGGGTGACAACATGGTGCCCAGTTCCCACTCATTCAGCAGACAGGAAAGTGCACAGTGTCAGTGCCTGCCCAGCACTGTCTAGATGCTAGGAAAACAGATGAATCCCACTCGGTCCTCTACCCCAAGACGCTCATCTAGACAGGTGGACAGACAAGGAAAGAGATGGTACAACTTGGTGTGATGGAGGTCTGGACAAGTGGCAATGAGGACGTTGATCAGTGAATCCCTTGGCAACGTCCGAGAGCCCGGGGCTCTGCTGTTGGGACTTCAACTTCAGTGCTGCCCATCTCCCAGCCTCGGTTTGTCCATCTACAAAATGGAGGGATGAGTCCAGTACCCACCAAGGGCCTTCTAACCCTGATGTACTGTGAGCCTGCCTCTTGTTCCATAGCAAGCCTGGCCTCTCCCCAAGAAGAGCCAGCGGGCTTCAGTCACCCCATCTCTCTCCTCTCCTCCCCTCTGCACTCGCCCCGCCATGTTCTGCTCACTCGGTCTCCATGTGTTCCTGTGACTTCGGGTCCTGTTCTGCGCTATGACACCTACATCTGGATGTTCAGCCCCATCCTTTTCACTGACTTTGTGATTTATGTACTAATGAAAATAATCAGCATGTGTTAAGTCCCAGGTGTGACATTACAATCATGACTTGAATGATCTTATCTACTTGGCAACCTTGTGAAGTAGGCAGTGGTACCCCATTTTGTAGATGAGTGACACTGAGTTCAGGAGATAACTAAGGCTTGCCCAAGGCCCTGAAGTCGATAAGTGACAAGAGCCAGGATTTGCAAACCTGTGTCTGCCTGGCTCAGTGCCCACACTGTCACCTGTCATGCTGTATTTCCCAGAGTGTATCCGGCCACCTAAGAGACACTTCCATTTGGGTAATTCACAGACACATTGATTTCAACATGTCTAAAATCGACCTCATTTCTCTACCTTCTATCCCAAATCTGCTTTTTCCTCTCTTCTCCATTGCAATAAATGGCACCATCAACCCAATGATGGCCCAACTGGAACCCTGGGGGGTCTTCCTGGATCTTTCCTTATCCTCCCTTCCCAACATTCACATCCTGGTCATTTTTCCATCCACTCTCCTCCAGCCCCACTGCTCTGATCTTCAAAGCCACTTATCCTCTCCCCCTCCTTCCTGCAGGGTCTGCCCGCCTCTGCGCCTGGACACTGTCTGCCCCAGCCCCTCCCCCGCCCACATCCGATCCTATCGCTCCTGCTTCAGACCTGCTGCTGCTTTGTGCGGCTCTGCAGCAGAGCTCAAAGCTGGCCACCCATGGACTGAAATCCTTCCAAGAAGACATGTTTTGTTTGATCCATTGAGCATTTTTAAAACATTTTGAACTATTTGCCAACATTTAAAAATCAGGAAATTCCATATGAAAGTTCCTACTTCTGGCTTCTCTTGCAAAAGTGAAAACACTGGCAATGCTGGGCCCACGTCCCCATCGGGCAGTGATGGGGTGAAGCGGAGTGGTGGCTGCCCTCTTCAGAAGGGGCTTGGGCTTTCCAGTTGGCCAGTCTCCTGCATCCCTTATACCTCATAGTCCCTGGTCCCTCCCCTGCTCCCAGTTACCTGCCTGAGACTTGAGGCGTTTAGGGTCATGACCCCACAGCGTGAGATGAAGCCCAGAGCCCTCAGTGTGGCTCCAGAGGTCCTACGTGGCCCAGCTTGGAGTGGACCAGCGCTACCAACCTCTGAGTCTTACTCCTGCTCACTACCTCATCACCCTGTCCCCTGTACTCCCGACTCTTTCCCGTAGTTCTCTGAATTGTCTTGCTCCCTCAGCTGTCTGCCTTGGTGTAGGTTGCTGCTCTGGAATGCTTAGGTCCCTCTTTTAGTGATGTTTGTCCTTCACTCTGCTCTGTGCCCCCTCCACCAAGAAGCGGTCCTTATCCCCACCCCACCCCCTTCCCCAAGCTGAGTTCTGTCCTCCCAAATTTATGTGGTGCAGACCTCGGTCATTGTGACCATCATACGGGATTCTCATTGTTGCCTGACTTGTCTGCCTTCCCCACCAGTTGTGGTTCTGAGGCTACAGGAAGCCTGTCTTCTTTATGTTCCTGTCCCTAAAGCATGGCCCAGGGCTCAGAATATAATAGGTACCTAGGGGTAACTGGTGAATGAATGGATGAATTGGCAAAAGACTGACTTGGGAAAATCCTACTCCAAGATGTTATGTTGCCACCTGCTTGTCTGGGGTGGAGGTTCCTTTTGTTCTGGAGCACCCCCATTATAGGACACAATCTCCCACAGCATCCTGTCAGCCATACCTCTGCTCTGCAAGGTCTAGAATACATCCAGGCCTCCTGGGATGGTAGTTCTGAGTGACAATCGAGGGAAAATATGTCATTCTTGTTCCAGGGGGAGAGAGTTGTCTCACGGTTGGGAAGTGGCACAGCAATTGAATATAGCACATTCTTTAGTTGTTTAAATATTAATAATGATGTGGTAATGACAGTACCTGGCACACAGTGAACACTTTGTACCAGATTGCATACTAAGAGCTCTCAGTATATTCTTTCCTTTACTCCTCACAAAAACTCTAAGAAGTAGCCCCATTTTACAGACAAGTAAACTGAGGTTCAGGGAGTTGAAACAACTTTTCCAGGGTCACACAGCCAGTAAGTGGTAGAATCCAGGTGTGAAACCAAATCTGTCTGACATCAGAGTTAACGTTCTCAGCCCCCACGCCATGCTTCCTTAGTGACCTTTCTCTTTGGAAACATGAGGAAATGTAAGTGTGGAAACGAAGGATACACACTTATGCCTACAGTAAGATTCCAGTTAGCAATCAAAGGGAGAAAGGAAAGAAACTCCTAAGGCCTAGGGAAAGCAGCCAAGGAGAGACACCCACGTGTTAGCAGTGGTCACATTCAGCTAGTAGAGTGCTGGTGGGGGTGTTCATCTTGTTTTCCATCTCATTTCTACTTTTTAACATTTTCTAGATTTCCTTTAGTAGGCATGTACAGTCGTGTCCCGCAGTATCTGAGGGGGACTGGTTCCAGGACCCTTACGATACCAAAATCCACAGATGATGCTCTAGTGCCGTATAGTCAGCCATTCAATCCATGGATTTTGCATCTACAGATTCAACCAACCAAGCACCAGTGTGGTTGGTTGAATCTGGGCACGTGAGATCCACTGATGCAGAGGGCCAACTGTGTTACATTTACAATAACAGTGTAAAAAAATCCTGCCTTTGTAATGGCCCCAGCATCACATGGCAGAGCGGAGGTTGGGAAGGGGTATAGGAGTACCCAGCTAATCAGCGCGACTGTCTCTTTGAGCCGCCGTGGCGGGGCAGCAGAAGCGGGTGATTAGCAGGCGGCACCTGTGGCCTCAGCACCTGCACCCTCGCGGGGCAAGGGAGAAGTGGGTCACCAACCCTGCTGTCTCATCGTCTCCTTTTTTCCTCCAGGTGCTTATACCCCGGAGCCCCTCAGCAGTTTCCGGTGGGCCCTTCTTTCAACTGGCCTCATGTTCTTTTATCACTTCAGCATCTTGCAGATCCTGGGCCTGGTAAGTTTGGTTCTATCCCCTTCTATCCCCTCTGTTTGGAGTTCTTCATAAATCTTGATAATCCTGGTTGGCGCTGGTGTATCGTTTTGTTTTGAAAATACAAGATGCCAAAGGCCAGGCTGTCAGATTGTTGTGTCTGGGTTGCTGATTTACGATCCACAGCCTTGGCCTCTTCAGAGAGTTTTCTGAATCCTCCAGTAATGACTGTTTCTTTCATCCCTGGGGAGGCAAGGAGGCCCTTCCCTTGTGGCCACTTGGATCGGAAATAGTGAGCTGCCTGGGAAAGCAGTTTGCTGTGGACCCCGCGGGGAGGCAGGATCCTAACCCTGGCCCTGGGCCTGGGGGGAAGCTTCTGACCTTGGGTCCTTTATGGGTCTGCTGCCAGGCCCTGAGTCGTGTGGCCGATGTAAGTGTGGTGTTGGGGACCCCGTGACATTCTGGGATGTTCATACCTGCCTGGAGTGTGCTTGATGGCTGGACTCAGTAGTTGAGTTATCCACAGCCCGAGATTGCTGAGTGCATGGGCGTGTCTCTTGGTGGCAAAGGGAGTAGCAGGAGCTGGGGGTCTGGAGACCCAGGTTCAAGTCCTGGCTTTGCCACTGCTCTGGGTGAGTCACCTCATCCTTGAGGACAGAGAGCTCTCTGCCCCGCTGTGACACGGTAGAAAACCCCCCGCCTCCCTGAGAGGTGGTGAGGACTTGTCTTTAGCCTGAATGGGCTTGAAGGGCTTTGGATGGTGGGACCGTGCCCGTCCTCGGGCGGGAGTGGCACGTCTGGGTTGGTGTGCAAGCGGCATTCCTGGAGCACTAGCCATGCGGAGCCTCGCGGGACCTAGCCGGACTCGGGCGTGTAACTGATGTCAGCAGCGCCTTTGGAGAAGTAGTCGTTTTCTCTTCCCTGACCTGGCATGTTGCTCTGCTCGGACTGGCCTGGGAGGGAGTTGGAGCTCCTTGTCAATAGCGTGAATGCTTCCTGTGCTCTAGGGAGGAAGCAGTATGACCTTCACGCCCTCACCATCACTCCTGCTCTCCATGGGGACTCCTTGATCTCAGAGGAGTCAGTGTCCTCATGTCACCATACATTCCATCCTCAGTCTCACCTCTGGGCCTGGCTCAGGCCACGCCTCCTACAAGGAAGGCTCTGTTCGCTCCATTCCTTTTCATGACCCCCATCCATCCTTCATAAGTCCATTCAGGTGTCACTTCCCTTGTGAAATCTTCTCTGAGGACTCAGTCCCCATTCCGTACATGCCTCGGATCTCACGGTGGGGAAGACCCGGTGAGCACCGTCTGCCTTGAGGTCACATGTTGTAGACCGATGACTCCATCCTGACTGGTCACTAGTTACACAGAGGCAGGGACCTTGCTGCTGACTGCTCTTTTATCCCATAGTACCTCTCACGGGACTAGGCACATAGTAAATGCTTAGGGACGGCAGCGGGCTCTGGGCCCAACCAGAAGGCAAGGCTGAGCAGAACGAAGCAGCTTTTCAGCTGGATGGCCTTCCCCATCACCTCCAAAGGGCTCTAGCCTTGACCCACTCAGAAAACCTAGGGGGAGAAAACCCCCAACTATGAACAGGTGGGGATTTGTCAATCCCTCCTTGTCTAGTCCCCACTAGGTAGACACGGCTGAACTGGCAGAAGCCAGAGGAAGCCTAAGGATGGTGAACGCTCACTCTACCTCCCTTGTCCCTGCAGGTCACCGAAGTGAATTTGAACAACATGCTGTGTCCGGCCATCTCAGACCCATTCTACGGCCCCTGGTATCGCATCTGGGCCTCGGGACACCAGACTCTCATGACCATGACCCACGGGAAGCTGGTCATCCTGTTCTCATACATGGCTGGGCCTTTGTGTAAATATGTGCTGGATTTGCTCCGGCTTCCAGCCAAGAAAATAGACTGAAGGTGCTTGTGTGTTTTTGTTTTGTTTTGTTTTGGGGTTTCTTCTTTCTTTTTTTCCTTTATCCCTGAGGAAACAAGTCCTGATTTGACTTGGAGGACACCCAGTTCTTGATGAAATCATGGGAGAGGGCAGTAGGGTATTTGGTGTATTTCTTTTTCCCTCCTCTCTGTCCCTTTCTTCCACTACCTTTCCTTCCCCAGCTCTTCCCCCAGGACAGCTTCCGGCACCTGGGGTGTCAGGCTGATGGCTGGACGTGTCCTCCTCCCCTTTGGCTCTCTCCCTGCTCCTAGTGGCCTTACATGGGTAGTCAGTGGCTTTCACTCTGCTTGTTGGTGCTTTACCAGCAGCCGGTTGAGGAGAAAGGGAACACAAGCAGTAGTCCTTTGGGCATCGAAGTGATGAGATGGGGTGTGTTTCGTTTCTCCACTGCCAGGGACCTCTGCTGGGGTCCCCTTTTGTCTCCAGCACAGCCCCCACCCTAAGGGGACTGAGGCCTTGTTTCTATACCAGCGGCAAGCTGAGAGCCAAGGGATTTCCCAGCTCGTGGCCAAAGTAGAACTGGCCAGATTCTTCCCACTGGTGTCCCATGACTCAAAGCAAGTAGCCAACCAGCCACTCCATCCAGGATACTGCCAGTGCTGGGAGGTGGGGGCGCTACCCAGCCCAGGGGCTAGATTCCACCCAGGAGGATGGAGAGTTGTCGGGATGGTGAATCCGAAAGTGAACCAGGTTGAAATGTCCACAGCCAACACTAAGCAGGACTTTTGGTAAATTCTGCTTGTGAGAGCTGAGAACTGACCCATATCCCGATCAGAAGTGAGCGTAGAAATTAATCAACTGAAGTGGTAACTTGAGAAAACTGTGATTTGAATTATATGCTTGCTTTTAGTTTAATGTTGATAATAGATGCCATTTTAATTTTGAGTGCCCCTTGAAGTTTCTCTCTTTCTTACTCTTTTTTTAAAGGCAGCTTCAGGGAAGGATGAGCTAGAGTTGGTTTTTTTTTTTCTTTTTGGTTTTTTTTTGTTTGTTTGTTTTTGGCTTTTGGGATTTTGTTTATCTGTTTATTCATTTGTTTTTGGATATTTGATTTTGGAGAATCCTTGCATTAGGTCCTTCTGGAGGGACTCCTGTTGATCCATTTCATCCCATTTTACAGGATCAGCATCTTGGATTTGGGATGATACTGATCTTGCTGTGTTGTTTCCCTAGGGCCAGATGTCATCTCTGCTGCCAGACTCAGCACTGTGTTGTTTAGTGTGGGGGCCATCACAGGCTCCCACCTTGCCCACCCCCAAAGGCTATGTCTAGGTTGAAAGAGAGGTACCAAGGAATCAGGTCCCCACAGGTGGAGGTTGAAGTGCTCTGAAAGGAAGACCTTTTGTTGCAAGACAGCCTGAATCATCCATGAACCTAAAGAAGGGAGGCAGTGGCTGGGCATTTGGTGACTCCTTGTTGGCTCTTACTTAGATTTCTTAAGAACAGAAGAAGTAGTTCTGTGACCTCCTCTGATGGGCCTCCCTCCCCTCTCCCACTCTAGACAACCCAGTTGTCCTGGGCCCATTCAGTATTTCAGGTGTTTTTGTACCAGACCTAGAGTGAGTTTCACTGGCTCAGTGGTCATGATTTTGACAGGTGGACCTACAGGAGGCAGCAGAATGGAGGAGTCTTTCCTAGCAAGGGCGAGGCCCAGGAAAGCAACCATGGCAGGGCCATCAATCAATTCCCAGGGTGTGGGGTTGCAGGAGGGGGAACCTGGAGTGCTTTGGCTCCCTGTGAGCTTCTCGTGACTCATAATACACTGTATTTTCTGCCATCTTTGAGGATCTGGCCGAGTTTTTCTTAGTGCCTCTCATCCCAGGGTCGCTTGCTTGAAGAGGCACCTCTGGTGTGGCTGGGTTTGCCCCGCCCACTGGCTGCATGTAGGCGTGGCTTAAGAGGAAATGCACAAGGCCTCAGCACCCCTTGGCCTCTTGACCAAAAGATAGGTTGGAAGGAGATCACTGGAGGAACTCCTGGGGTCTGTACCCAGCCAGGATGCAGAGTCTTTGCCTCAGCTGGGGCCAGCAGCCTGGGAGGGACATCTCCGCTGCAAAGGGCTCTCTCTTACCCCCTCTCCGTGTCCTGGTGCAGGATACCAATCAACCCGAGCTCTCCTCGCACTGGCATGCCTCTAAAAGCTCGCCTTTGCCCTGGCTGCAGCCCTGTACCCCATGCTGGCAGGCACTTTGCTGCTGCTTGAAAGAAAGGGAGAAAATGGAAGCCACATGCCTGGCTTGGCCAGGCCAGAGACAGATGCACCTGTCTGGGGCAAAGGGAAGTGCAGGGCTTCTGGGCCCCAGGTTGGCTCAGCAACATGTAGGGGGAAGGCCCCGAGGGGGGCCCCCGTCCCCAGGCTCCCCCGGGAGTCAGGCCAGTATTGAGGTGTTGGGGAGCAGCAAGCGTCTGCACTGGTCTGTACCTGACTCTTGGGCCGAGCCCATGTAGAGAGGTAACATGGCCAGACCCATGGCAGCCTGTCTTGCAGGATGGCCCCCGCAGTGGTGGGCCTGGGCTTACCAGTGCCTCCCTGGAGCTTTCCTGCTGATGCCAAGGAGGTTCCCCAGCCAGCCTGGCCAAGTTCCCATATGCCGTTTGCCAGCGTGTTGGAACTCTGTGTGTGTCTGAGCATCTCTAGAAGTGGACAGTTTCTTTTAAAACAGCCGTGGAAAGGGAAAAGTGTATTCCCTCCATTTGCCAGCGTGTTGGAACTCTGTGTGTGTCTGAGCATCTGTAGAAGTGGACAGTTTCTTTTAAAACAGCCGTGGAAAGGGAAAAGTGTATTCCCTCCAGCTCCCAGGTCGCGTTGGCTAAGGATCTGGGCCGGTGAGAAGAGTCTATTCAGCTGGCCAACTTGTGGCCTCAGGTCAGAATTACCTGCTTGCAGCCCCTCATCTACCCTAGATACTGGGTTCTGTACACCAAAGATGATCTGACCCATTTTCTTCTTGGAGGCCCAATGAGTGTTCCTCTGTCGGTCTGCAAGGAAGCCACAGGCTCAGTCTCCCTAAGTCAACCTTCTCTCTTTCTCCTGGGACTTCTCAGCATTCACAGAAGCTGCTGGCAGGGGAGTCAGGATGTGTGGGGCGGTTGGGGCACTCACCTATCCGGTAGCTCAAGTCTTTCTCTCAGATCATCCCTTTGGCCGCAGCCTCCATCAGGGGTCTTGCTGGTTTTGCTCATTGCGAGTTCAGTGTTGTGTGGAGTGGGCACAGCTGCCCGCAGGTCGCAGGTTGTCAGTCCGTCTCCACACGTGCTGGTGTTGGGGCCAGGCTGGCGGAAGACCCTTCCTCCCCCTCCCTCTCCTTCCCTTGGCCAAAAGCACTTCCTTGGATTTGTAGCCTTTGATCCTGATCCTGAGTCATCTGAAGGGGAGATGGGAGACGAGATGGGGAGGTGGGTGAGCGGAGAAGGGCTGGTGTGGCATTGCAGGACAAGACGCCATGGCTGGTTTTAGTAAATTGGGAGCCTGTGGAAGGGAGGTGTCCCACAGGCCTTCGCACACTCCTTGGCAGGGCCCCAGAGGACTGGGAAGTAGCTTCCTCACTGCACACCTTGCCCCGCCCTCTGGGAGCCAGGTAGGGTCCGTGAGAGGGAGCCAGCCTTCCCTCTTCTGTATATACAGTGAGCCACTTGTGCTCAGGAAAACCTAGTCGCTTGCTGTTGCTCTTGTGACACTTTCGTACACTGGTTTGCTACTCGTGGCACAAAACAAACAAAACAGAAAAGTCATTTCAAGCCAAGCTGTTGTTTTGGAAACCTGCTTTCTTTCGGTGTCTGTTTTGTATTCTACTTGAAAGAATTCTTCATTTATGTTGGTGTTACTGTGGTAGACAGAATAAGATAGCCTGATTTGTAATTCTTTCTGCCAGGAAATGGGCAGTTCCTTCTTCGCGCCCCTCGCCCCAGTCCTTGCTCGTTCCCAATGTGGGCTTGGTGGGTCCTGGGCAGACCCTCCCTGTCACCCGCCCCGACAGCAGCTCCCTTTAAACCAGTCTTTGTAATCCCCCTCAGCAGCTGCAGGATGAGTATTTTTGCCAAGCTGGTTCCTGGGTGCTCTGTGCCCCCACCAGTTTGTTCACCTCTTTGGAAATAAAAGGTCTTTAATTTGTGCACTTAGCATTCTGAATTTTGGTCTTAGGTGTTTTTGTTGTTAAGATTCCTGAATGAAAAGGAACCCTCACCATGGGACTTACTGTTAAATGTTTTCCTTCATTTACTGTTATTAAAAGATTTATGAGAACCCAGGAGTCTTGGCCTTGCTTCCCAGGACCCTCTCAGAAGGGCTTCTGCTCTGAAAAGTAGACAAGAGGGGCCGTTGGTCGCCGGGGCTGTGGAGGACCACCACGGGGCAGCTGGCGCACTCAGCACACCTCTGCCCTAGGAGTCACGTGGCTGGACGGGCGGCTTTGAATTCCACCAGGGCTGCCGGGGACCCGGCAGGCCTTGTGCTCTTAGCAGGTCTTGTCTGCTGGGGACATCTGCTGGGCTCGTGGTGCCCCACCTGTGCTGGGCCAAGCCACAGGACTGAGCTAGAGAAGACACCTCTGAAACTAGACGAGATCAGGCCCACTTACCCAAGTTTCCTGAGGGCCGGCTTGGTTCAGCACAGGCTGGTGGCCGGCACAGGTCAGACTATCCTGTGGGGCAGTAACCTTGACCCGGGGGAATAGTCAGACCTGCCTGTCCAGGGCTCCTCGCCAGGCAGCCCACCTTTACACCAGGCAGAGGCCCTGCTTGATCTCTGCTGGTGTGGCTGCATCTAGAAGGGACACAGCTAGCCATAGTGGCCCCAGTGCCAGTGGAGCTCCTCACTGGCCGGCAGCTGGGCACTCAAGCCGTCAGTGGGGCTGTGGCCCCCCATGTGGGGCCACAGAACCACCAGCTTGAGCAAGTCATTTGCTCTCTTGTCGCCCCAGGTTCTCCATCAGCAAAGCCATAGCTCAGCCATGTGCCAGGCACGGTGCTAAGTC